TATGTTGAATGTTTGTCCGTGATTTGTGCATATCGAGATCCTCGTGGGTTCCAACATGGGGATAGCCTCAACCCACTTGGGCACGTAATCTACTGCAAGAAGAATATATTCAACACCAAAAGATTTGGGAAATGGTCCCATAAAGTCAATACCCCAAACATAAAAAATTTCAACTTGTAGATTGTTCACAAGGAGCATTTCATTCCTAGGACCAATGTTCCCAATTCTTTGGCATCGATCACAAGATTTGCAAAAATTATGAGCATCTCTAAAGAGAGTTGGCCAAAACAAACCTGATTGGAGAACTTTAAAGGCAGTCTTTCGACCATCAAAATGTCCTCCACAATTAAGCTCGTGGCAAAAAGCGAGAACATCCGCTTGCTCTTCTTCGGGCACTCACCTCCGAAGAATCTCGACTTTTCCCATCTTAAAGAGGAATGGATCATCCCAGAAATAGCTCCTGCACATCAAAACAAAACACTTTCTCTCTTGGGAAGGAGATCAGGTCGCAGTTTATCACAACACAAATAATTCACAATGTCAGCGAACCAAGCACTTCGTGCACATGCTCATAATGAAAAGTATCATTAACAGAATGATGCACAACCAATGAAGATGATGATTCAGCTGGTACTATGCGTGACAAGTGATCAGCAACTACACTCTCAGAACCTTTTCTATCTTCATCAAACTCTTGCAACAACAAGATCCACCGGATGAGACTTGGTTTAGAATGAGTTTTGCTCAAAAGGTACTTCAAAGTTGCACGGTCTGAGTGAACAATAACTTTATATCCCAAAATGTAAGATCTAAATTTTTCCAGTGAAAAGACCACGGCTAGAAGTTCCTTCTTGGTGGTAGTATAATTTTGTTGGCCCCGTTAAGAGTCAGACTAGCATAATAAATCACTCAAATCAATTTATCAATTCGTTGAACCAAGACGGCGCCCACTGCAAGATTAGACACATCACACATAATTTCAAACGAAAGTGACCAGTCAGGGGCAATGACAATAGGGGCACTTACAAGCTTGTTCTTTAGTTCATTAAAAGCACTCAAACAAGCATTATCAAAAATATATGGTACATTCTGAGCAACAAGTGGCACAAAGGCTGACTAATTTTTGAAAATCTTTTATAAAACACCTATAAAACCCCGCATGCCCCAAAAAACTCTTAATCCCCTTAACATTCACAGGAGGGGGAAGTTTTTCAATCACATCCACCTTGGCCTTATCTACCTCAATCCCTTTACTAGAAACAACATGGCCCAAAACAACTCCACTCCTAACCATAAAATGACTATTTTCCCAACTCAAAGTCAAATTAGACTCAACGCAACGCTCAAGGACTCTAGATAAATTACAAAGACAATGAGACAATGAATTACCAAATATAGAAAAGTCATCCATGAATACCTGCAAGCAGTCCTCAAGCTTATCCTAGAAGATGGAGAACATGCACCTCTGAAACGTGCCCGGTACATTGCATAGGTCGAAGGGCATCCGTCTGAATGCGTAGGTGCCAAAGGGGCACACAAATGTCGTCTTGGGCTGATTCTCGGGTGCTATGGCCACTTGGTAGTAGTCGGAGAGTCCATCCAGA